TCCTTAAGCTGTACGGTGATTTCCTCTTGTCCAGCATTCATACCTTCCCGGTGAAATAGGCATAATTTTCGCGTGTCCCCTAGCAATGGATTACAATCCTTGGGCGATTCGAATTGTTAGCATAATCAACCCCCGATTTCCAGATTCTTGGCGGTGCGTATCAAATGTGCAGATTTCCCGGTATGATTGATACGTTTTTTCTGATTCCTCGTCTTGTATTTATGGATCCTTCCCTTAATAATCCCCGGCCAATTATTTCAGTATGCACGTTGGGCTATTTATATTCGATTTTGGAGATGGAATGAGGCACCATCTCCAAGATTCCTCCTAGGTATAATCTTATGACTTCTTTGGCTTGTTCTTCTCTTTGTTGTTTGTTTCTATTACTGAAAGAAGGGTCATTTCTCACCTACAGGTAGGGCTGAACCTGCAATAGTTTGGAAAATCATTCTTCAGGTAATTTAAATTACACGTATTCAAGTCAAAAAATTTGAAGGGCCAAGTAGGAAGAGTAGCACACTGAACGGGTTGTGTGAAAATATTGTATTGCCTGAGCGCATTATCAATGTCGGCAAGGAAAGAGAAACAAAAGTTGAAGTGACAAGCCGAAAACGGCTGACATTTGATGAGAGTGATGCAGAGCATGAAAAAGTTGTCCATGTACCCCCTATAGAAGAAACATCTCTTCAGAACTCAGCCAAAAAACCAAAAAAGTATGATTCATTACTTTCTATATTCAGATTTAAAAAAGTTCACATCAGTTTTTTAAGACATTGTTGCAATTCATTTTTCCCCTTCCCATTATTTGCAAAAAAAATTCCGAATTTTCATCAAGTTAGTTTAACTTTCGTTTATACCATTAGCATTTGAAATGTGGTCCATGCTTCATTCTTTATTTCTATACTATTCACTTCGAAACATTTTGTGTAGGAATAAAACGGTTACATATTTTACCAGCGACTGTGATGTTACCTGTTAAAAACTATTTGACAAGTATATAGTGATTAGGGAAAATATATTCAATTAATTGAGTACATTCTTTATGATATCCCAGTGTATAAAAGATATAGAATCTGTTCTACCTTGCAATCTTCAGAGATACAAGTGTCACATGCGTCTACTTTTCTGCATATGTTGCTCTCACTTTTATTTTAGGAACTGTCAGAGGCGAGGGTTGCCCTTTCACTGATTTTACATATTTAAGCAGCATATGTGATATGACATTATAAAAGGTAAAGGGATTTTACACGTCTATATTGATTAGTGGGAAAATATATTTAATGAATTGAATATATTACTTTTGATAAATCCCAATGCATAAAAGATATAGAATCTGCTGTAAATTGCAATGTTCAGAGATACAAGTGTCAGAGCCGTCTACTTTTCTGTGTCTGTTGCTCTCGCTGGTTATTTAGGAACTGTCAGGGCCAAGGAGGCCCTTTGAGTGATTTTGCCAACCAAACGATAGTTGTGATAGTAGTAGGAAGGTGAAGGCATACCATGTTTTTAATATGTTTTTGAGTTACGAATTCTCCTTGGTGTATTTTTTGTTTTATTTCAGTGCCGGGCTTGGCGTTCTTAACTTGGCGATGCATGGTGTTTCAGGAATGTCTATAGCAATGGCAAATCCTCATATTTTTATATTGGATAAAAATGAAAGAATAAGTTTTACGTAGAAATATATCACCAGCCTTGCCTTTTGCTAAAGATCAACAACAGATCGAGGGACTAGGACTTGACGAGGGTGCAAGTCTTATCAAAGTGGTAATTTAGTCGTATATGTTCGGCCTATTTAGAAATTACAATTTTGTTTTTATTGGGTTTCCTCTTTTTGTTGGAAAAAAGTTGGGTTGGTATTAGCTGCTGGCTGCTGCACTCAAAACATATCGTTACTACTTGTTACATATACAAATAGGTGGTTAAGGCCACATGGGATTCAGATTCCGCTAAGCCACCTCTATTTCCCATGGTGGTCTTCATTCTGGAAGCGACTTAATGTCATATATTCATTCTTTAATACTTATTTACATTTTGTGGGATTTGGAATAGGCAAATGCACTTCTGCTGACTCTTTTAAGCATCGTGGTCCAAATTTTGGCCTTCGACAATGTTGAACTTGGTAGGAGTACTTTTCTGTTTATTAGTACTTTTCGTGATATTTGATTTTGTTCAATGCAGTAGTTTCTTAGGATTTGGAGCTTTATGTGGATGTGGTGGAATTTCTTGATGCTGATCTTTACAAGCAGAAGGGATAGAATGCAAGACCAGAATTCGGGCCGTCTGTCTGGCTCTCGCTGGTAGTGAGTTTAATAATAGTGTTGTTTGCTAGTTTGTAGGTTGTCTTGTTTCTCTTTTGTTTTGGTCTGTTCCTTTCTTTAGTGCTTTGGATTTTTCTCCTGTTCTTGCTTTGGCCCTGTGTTGGGGACGGCCAACCCCCTTAAGTACCTTTCTCCTTTTTAATGAATTATATATATATCTGTGTGTGTTTGTGTGTGTGTGTGTGTGTGTGTGTTGTGTGTGTGTGTGTTGTCGCTGGAATTCACGGAAGTGCTTGAAGTGGATGAAGTCGCTAATGGAGGAGAGTCGCGATTGACTGTTGATGATGGATTGCGTCGAAGGAGGCCAGATTTTATCGAAAATTTTAAAAATTAAAGAAATTTGGGTCGGGTCGGGTCGGTTCAATTGGGTTAGGTCAAATTGGGCAATTTCTTTCACCGACTAGGCTTCGCCTAGTCACTTTGCACGCTTTGTCGCCTAGGCTACCCTAGGCGCTAGTCCAAGAGCAAAGCGCAGAGGCAAAATCGCCCGGACGACTAGTCGGGGACTAGTCGTGGCTTAGGCAACGACTTGACAACCATGGTGCTACGATGGAGTTCACCTCCTACGTTGCTTACGTGTACGTTTTGGCTCTCTCTCTTGTATCCATCTGTTTCTGTTTCATTTCTTTTATTTTTTTATTTTTTCGTAATTCTATTGACTTCTTATCACACTGAAGAAATCAAATGTCATCCAGTTATTCAAAACAAAAGGATGATGTATTCTCATTTTTAAGATGAGACGGTCTCCGATTATAGACCAATTCTTTACATATTATGATTTTTATTTCAGATCTCATTAAATCTCAGAAATAGGATTATTTATATGTTTTGTTTTTTAGGACAATCTTTTCTCCATGATTTTTGATAATTTTTGGGGTTCTTATAAGATTTAGATGTTTTTATTAGATCTCTTTAAAAGGAGCTTATCTGCTTTGATTCGAATCACGAAGAATTTGTTCACAGATCCATGCATGTTCAGATTTGTAATTTGACAACGAATGCATGATGTTAAAAATCATGTGTAGTAGAGGAGGTCTCCGATATTGAAGGATTTTCTAAATTCTTTTAGGATTTAGATGAAAATCTGTATTTACTTCATAAATATTGTGGTTGGTAGTAATATTCATGAATATTTAAAACAACAATGTCTCAGTGAAATTGTTTTCCTGTTAATTTTTAGTTATATATTCTACAACTTTTAATCTAAATATTCTAGTCCATTTATTTTATAAACAAAGAAAGCAATAACCTTAAGCTTAAAACTGCAATTATATATATAATATTTTCAAAACCTGGTATCTAATCTGGTTATGTCTGGCATTTTATCTATATTCTGATCACAATGGATCAAAGTTGGACGATTGTACCATGACCATAAGGCTTTTATTTCTTACAGGAGGATTTTATTTAAAATGAAGTGAAGTAAATTATGTAAGTCATTTCATATATTGTTCATTCAATTTTTTTTAAGTATAATGTGTACAAAACAAAGTCATAGAATAATTAAACAACTGAATTCTTTTACTTGTTATTTCAGGTTTGATATTTTGTAAAGAAGCTGCTTGTGATGCAAGTAAGTATAATTAAAAGTTACTATGTTTCATTAATTAGAATATAATATCTAAACTAAGTATATTAACTAACAGTAAGTCTTTCATGTTTCCCAGAAATATCTCATGCAATGAAGTTAGGACAAGTAAGTAAATTACTTAAATTACTATCTCATGCAAGTCTTTCAATGAAGTTCTTAAATTACTTAATATACATGTATTGAATGAAATCTTCATTAAGGTTGGCATGGTTTTCTGTAGTATGATGCCTATATTTTTCATCAGTTCAAGACACACTAAATGCATAAAACCATCTAAATTTATATCTGTTAAATATATATACACAAACTGAACTGTGTTTACTAAATAAAAGTCATAAAAATAATAGAGTGTGTGAAGTGGAGTGTGTTCACCTGTGTTTGTATGGAGCCTCTTTCTTTTTATTCTGTCTTTACCACTTGTCTTTACCACTGGGCAGTGAGCTCTTCATTTCAGTTTCCAAATATAAATAAATTTATCACTATGGGATATTTTATCACTATGGGATATGAGGAAGAGAGATATCTACTTTATATATGGAACACCACTAATAGGTTATATATATGTATTGAAATATGTTATGACGGATGTAAGAAAGATAACAAACAATAAAGAAACGAAAGAACAAACACACACAGATTTAACGTGGTTCACCAACAATATGTTGGCTACGTCCACCTAACAGAAGAGAGGAGAGCTTTTACTGATTGAGGAGAGAGATTACAGAGGGGTATTCTAGGTGATTGATCTCTCTATTTGAATGCCTTACAAATAAACCTATTTATAGGAAAGATGGCAGCCAACTTGGCTCCCTAAATCCAGTGGGATCTGAGCTGTTGACAGCCCAGAATACTGCTGTCATACAGCTGGCCCACCTCACCAACTAGCAACCCACTTGCACAATTGTCTAGGCCTCCTTCCAGCTACTTTCCAGCCAGTTTACAGCCACTTTCCAGCCAGTTTACAGCCACTTTCCAGCTGGGTGCAGCCATTGTTGACTAGTCAAATAGAATTCAAGGCATATTGAAATAAACATACAGAAAGGCCTGTCCACCACTGGTAATTATTTAAATATACTTAGAAGTTTATGTCAAGGAGTTATTCATGTTTAAGCCATACAAATCAATAAGTCCAAAACATTTTTTTGTCATGTGACCCTAAGAAGTTGATGCATTAAGGGACTTCATTTTTTGATGGTTTTATTGTAGATATTTAAAATGAGGCATTTACTTTAAAACATTTAAACCTTAAATGATTGCAGTTCTAATATGCTTTTAAAGTACTTTAAAATTTTTTAAACTCAGTGATTTGGTCAGGACTTTGAGTGTGAACTACCTTTTTTAACTTTGCACATTTGAATGATTTCAGATTTTGATGGTTTATTGTGGAATTGTTAAATGAGGAGGTTTTTATAAACTCTTTAAAATTGCAGATTCATTTCCCCTGAGCATTTGATATTAGGTCAGAATGGGGTCAGTTCCTTGCCATTTTTTCTACCCCGTTACCTATTTCCAAAGTAATCCACTTTAATTATGAAGTGCCATTTTATTTTTCTGTCAGGACTTTAATTATGAAGTTCCACATTATGTTTGCAATTTTGATTATGAACTTTTAAAATTAGTAGTTTACTTTTCTTAAATCTTTTCATCTCAAGTCAGAAGGGTGGCAACACTTGACCAGTTTTGTCCACACAATTAGCTTTTGGACCAAATTACTGCAAGCCTCAAAATTTTTTAAAATTGTTCATTAAATTGTTACACTTATTGTCTCTGCCAGGACATTGATTATAAAATAACATTTTAAGTTTGCACATTTTATATCTGAAACCAAAAGTCAGGGAATGTTTGAAATTTCAAAGTCTTTAAACAAATCTTTCCTCATTTATTTTGAAAGGAAGTCAAACGTCTTCAAGTATGGTGCTGCCTTGTCTGTATAATGCTGATTTTTCAAGTACATTTTTCCTAAAGACTGAAAACCAGTGCTGCTATTTTATTATTAACACTTATGTAGTGTTCATAGTTATTAATACTTATTGTTTCAAGTAAGAGCCGGATAGGTGTTTAAAAAGGTGTTGGAAACAAAGGAAATGACATTCAATATTGAAAAAAGCAAAACACACTGTGCATGAGCACTTATTTCATACACTCATGGTATGAAAGAGATCTTATTAAAGAAATAAAGGGTCAACGAGAACAGTTTGTGAAGGATATTGATGATCTTGCTATTCTCAGCAAGAAACTCAAGGGTCAACGAGAAGAGTTTGTGAAGGAGAGATGCCAATTTCTCACATTAGTTGAAAGGATAAAGAATTGCGATCAGTGCAGAGAAACGGCACATAATTTCACATTTTCTGAAGTCAATTTGATGGAAATGGAAAACAGCGAGGCTTCTCTTTCTGCTCTGGGAGATGAAATTTTGCAAAAGGTTGCTTCATTTGTAGAAAAGTCTCCAATTGCGGCTGAGCAAAAACTATCAGATTCTGGTGGTCGGGTCTCTTGGCTTCGCAAGTGCACCACAAAAATTTTTAAGTTGTCCCCTAACAAAACTACTCAAAATTTGGAGTCAACTTCATATGCTGCTGAAGAGAATCGTTGGCATGACAGTAGTATTGACGTAGACATTAGAGACTCGGAGGGGCCCGGTAGTACTCATGCCGATGATATTTACCAAAAGAGAGACGATGTTCCTGAAGAGTCACAGCAATCTGGCCTAAGTATTCGACACACCCGTGGGAAAAAACCTAAGGGTGGAATCCGTAGGACCCGCTCTGTGAAGGAAGAGGTTAGATGATTCTCGCCAAACGATTTAGAAGAAGCTCGCTGTTGACCAAATAATGAATCTAGAGAGCTGAACGATTGTGGTCTGATAAGGCTGCTATCCACAGGCCTGAAATAACAAGTAAAAGAATTCAGTTGTTTAATTATTCTATGACTTTGTTTTGTACACATTATACTTAAAAAAATTGAATGAACTATTTATGAACAAATGGCCACCACCTAGAAAAGACCAGACCCAAATCCAAAGCTCAACCTAAAATGTAACCATAACCATACCAAAAAACCAAGAAAAACAAAAAAAGGCAAACCCCAGCGCAGGATATACCCCAAAATAAGCCCCAAACCAAGAATCAAAACCCCAATCTAGAACCTATGTTTAAAAAACCCAAAACCAATCCAATAACGCATCCGAAATAAAAACATTCCTAAAACCAGGTACTATAAATTTGGTTTAGGAAACAAATCTACTATATATATAAAAGCTGATGGAAAAATCAGCTCCAATTGCACTCATCAATTTTCCCGCCAAAAATTCTGATCGTATGGCTAAGATTACTTGGATACACATGGCACATCCACATTAAATCTAAACCAAAAACATATACATGCACTTATGGACAAAAGTGTACTGACAAACAACTGATACTGCCACTGCCTGAATTACAACACTGCCCCAATTTCATAATAGCTTCAGCCCAATGAATCAGTCACTGCCCCAATTTAATTTCTTTAAATCTTCAGAATTGTCACTTGAGGTGTTCCTCCAATATCAGGATATGCCATCTCAAAAGCCATTTCAAAATCAGAAAAAATCAATGTGTAATGCCCATTTCAAAGCTACTGCAAAGAGGCTCAGATATTCACTATATATATATATATATATATATATATATATATATATATATATATATATATATATATATATATATATATATATATATATTCATTACAAGGAAATAGAATAATTACGCCATGGCTGCTTCTGGCCGAGCAGATAACCACGCCAAGTTACGTATTACTACCTTAATTTCACTAATCAAAATAAAAAAACTTTTAAAGCAATCATCACAGCCTCTTTATTATTCACATTATTCCAGCATCACAGACAACCCAGGGAAAAATACAATCCGAAGTGTCCAAAAATCCTGATATCATGAGCTTACTGACCTAGGGCAAGAGAGTATCCTCTAAGCATTTCAAATGATGTAATAAAAAGGGCCTCACAACCAAAATTTTACTACTTTGAACGTTTGAAATGAGCATTATGTAATTCCAGTATAAGGCCCATACATAAAAGCTGATGGAGAAATCAATTTCCATTGGAGAAATGTACAATCAGAAAAAAACAGAAAAACCAATCTTTTTCAGAATCATAGCAGTCTGCCTAAGACAAATATACAATAAGAAAAAAACAAATCACAGGTATATTTTTCAGAATTTTAGCAGTATGTTTAAGTGCAAGAAATATATACAATCACTCCTTGACAAAACCAAGGTATCATTTTCAGTACATGGCATCTAATCCACCATATAAAACCAAGCCAGAGTAGTTCACAAATGCCCATTTCGATGAGGTATTATAAAGAGGCTCAGATTTTCACAATTTAAATACTCATTACAAGGAAAAAGTTTGATATAACGTCATGGCTGCTTCTGGCTAGGCCGTAGCCACGCCAAGATATGTTTTATTTCCTTAATTTCAAAAAACCAAAAATGGTAAAACATATAAAATAAATCATCACAGCCTCATAATTTTTCAAAGTATACCATTTTAGGTGCAGAATTTTATAGAGTATACCATTGCCTTATAAAGAGGATGAAATCAATAAAGTGGAAAAGCTATAACTATCCTTATAAGGGCAGAATTAGAGGATAATGTATTGTCGGGAAGATTACCATTTGAAGCTTATATAAAGAAGCTCAGATATTCACTATTTAGATAATCATTTTAAGAAAAAGGTTATGATAACGCCATGGCTGCTCCTGCCATCCATGGAGCCACGTCAAGATACGGATCAATTTCCTTAGTTTCAGTATGCTCATTAAGAGTAAATATATAGTGTATCATCATAGCCTCAAAAGTCTACAACTAAATCCAGCTTCATACCCATAGTATACCATTGCTGCAAAAATACATTAAAATCACTTAATTACAAGACAAAGAATGTAACTTGGTCCCATTAGCACATGTCAATTACCCATTACAAGTGGTAAACACCAAATCAGTCTGTTCCAACAGGGAAACTGCCCATGTATAGCATTGGTTCCGAGCAATTCGAACTGCAAAACTCCTCAGAAGTCGGTCGGTTACAGAAACTATTCACCTCTTCAACAAGCTTTATTTGCAAGTTGTCCACGAAGAAGAAACTAGGTTGAAAATGAAGGAAAAGCTGCTTGTGAGGATGAGAAGAAAAAGATCTTTCAGGCTAGATCTGAAAGTGTTATCCCAGATGAAAGAGAACAATGAGACAATCGAGACTCCAAACACCTTCGGCAATATACCAGGGGTTGAAGTCGGGCATCAATTTTTCTCAAGATGTGAGATGACTGTTATCGGATTCTATAACCATTGGCTCAATGGAATTGATTATGTTGGGAATTCCATGATTTACCCCTGAACAATAAAAATTGCACCAAATATCCCTGAATTCTTCGAAAATTGAACTGTTTACTCCTTAACATTTAAATAAAGAAGACAATTTTGGGTAAAGGTACTTTGGAAAATTCACAAAGATCAGATGAATCATATTCGCAATTCTTGTGCGTGGAAGCAACGCACTCTCTATCTAATAGTTTTGGACCATCGATGCAATTTTTTAATTTGCTCAAGAGTATTTGGTGCATTTTTTAGTGTGCAGGGGTAAATCGTGCAATTTTTGAAGAGTTTGAGGGTAATTGGTGCACTTTTTAAAGTTCAGGAGTAAAACATACAGTTTTTAAAGAGTACGGGGGTAAACAGGGCATTTAACTCCCTTTAATACGTTTAAGACGAAACTTGCAGATAGTAAATCCAGAAACGCCATTTTCGGCCCAATAATTTGCAACCTTATACAAACCGTCATATGTGTAAACCTTTCCCACATAACTACTCTCGCATTTATGTCCACGAGTTACTCGAACGGGCACACCTTACGCAACGCAATTCTTCAGTCTAAGGTTACCCCGTAGCATGACTTGGTCTTTCATTTGATGCTTATTGCCAAGTAAGTCATTTCCTCCTTGGCCTGTGTAGACAACTTCATCGTAGTTATCTTGATCATCTTCATATTGGCCAGATAGTACAATGGATCTTGTCAGCGGTAGTCTATACCCTTTAAACTCCTTTGCTTTTGAATTCCCAACATAATCAATTCCATTGAGCCAATGGTTATGGAACCCGATAACAGTCATCTCACATCTTGAGAAAAGTTGATGCATGACTTCAACCCCTGGTATATTGCCGAAGGAGTTTGGAGTCTCGATGGTCTCATTGTTCTCTTTCATCTTGGATAACACTTTCAGGTCTAGCCTGAAAGATCTTTTCTTCTCATCCTCACCCGCAGCTTTCTTTGGCTTTTCCTTCATCTTCAACCTAGTTTCTTCTTCCTAGACAGCTTTCAAATAAAGCTTGTTCAAGAGGCGAATAGTTTTGTAACCGACTTCTGAGGAGTTTTGCAGTCTGAATTGGTCAGAACCTCCTTCGCTGGAGTGGGTGACTCCGTGCTTCTCCTCGTTTTGAGGCCTACGTTTCCATTCTAGGGAACTTTCATTAATGAGGCGACCTTCTTCTCCAGCAAAGGAGGTTCCGACCAATTCGAACTGCAAAACTCCTCAAAAGTCGGTTACAGAAACTATTCGCCTCTTCAACAAGCTTTATTTGCAAGCTGTCCAGGAAGAAGAAACTAGGTTGAAAATAAAGGAAAAGCTGCTGGTGAGGATGAGAAGAAAAGATCTTTCAAGCTAGATCTGAAAGTGTTATCCCAGATGAAAGAGAACAATGAGACCATCAAAACTCCAAACTCCTTCGGCAATATACCAGGGGTTGAAGTCAGGCATCAATTTTTCTCAAGATGTGAGATGGCTATTATCGGTTTCCATAACCACACTACAAGAAATTTCGTGTTTTGGCGCACTTAAAATGGTAATTTGCCACACTTATAAATGTAAAAAAAAATAATTTGCCACACATGACCTAAGTGCGGCTACCTAACTGTGGGCAATTTTTAGCCGCACTTTTAGATAAGTGTGGCTAACTAATATTTTACCAACACTTAATATGTGCGGGTAATAAATTTTTTTGCAACACTTACATGTGTTGGGAAGGCACCACACATATAAGTGTCGCAAATATCAAATTTAAAAAATAAAAAAAATTATATGCACAAAAATAAGTGTGGCAAATGATCGACTATGTAACACTAAGTTCTTTCTTTGTAAAAGATTGATACATTTTAACTTCTGGAGGGTGAAGTTTCAGCACTGTATCCACCAATAACTCAATTTGAACACGAGATAGTTGGCCCTACAAACAAATAAAATGATGACATCAAATGGTTGCATATATTCATGAGCATGACATGAATGTTCAAGAGAATGGATTTCATGACTCCAACAGCCTTAGCTTTAACCAAGTCCATATATTGTTCATAAAGCTTTGATTGAATCTTCAAATGCAACAGCATAATTAGTCTATGAAAAAGAGGCAGTAATTACACAATTATTTCAAAAAAGACACTAGAAAGGGTAAGAGACAGTAATTAAGCATCATCAAAAAGGGTAAGATTAAGCATCAGACAGTAAGAGGCAGAAATTAAGCACCAGACAGTAATTACTGTCTCAAAAAAGAGGCAGTAATTACACAACTATTTCAGTGATGTCCAGTCTTCACCAAACAAGATGCACTAGCTCTTTTGGGACATGGTTAAAAAAAGCATGAAGTCATGGACGTGGTTAAAAAAACTACTCTAGTCCCTGCCATTGACAGTAAACCACTTTCCAACATAGCAAAATAGAACACTCCACGATAAGATAAAAGGCTAATGGAATTTGAATCCATAAGATATATCCGATACTAGAGGCGGCCGTTAATGGAAGGAGGTTGTTGGTCATTTTATAAAAAGAATGATTGGGATATGAAGCCATACTCTGTATTATTCTTCATAACCAACCCTTGTTCTCTAATTCTCTAAGAAAAAAGGCACTCACTGAGTGTTGATGCTCTCATGCTTTCATGCGGCTGGATTTTGCTTCTTCTAGTCTCTGACTCATGATTGTGTAGTCGGCCCAGAATGCCTCTCAATCCATATTTCCATATTTGAAGGGGGGAACCGTAAAATCAAAGGGTAAAAGGATATAAGTAAGTGAGTCTAGCAACGTTCTACGACTAAGCCGGAAAGAAGAAGAAAGGCAGACTCCATCAATCAATGTTCTACGATTATTGCTCATGGTTTAAATGCTACTTTTTGCCAAGTAGGGGAAGATTGAATCAAATAAATTTGAAGACGATTATAAATAGTGTTTTTACAGAGAAGTAGGTTCTGGTCTGGCAACAACACCAACGGGGCTGATGTTACTACACACTGATTGCTCTTAGCCGAAATATAGGTGTAACATTTTAGAGTTCTCCAAGGGCTATAGGTTTTTTTTTTTTAATTTATTTGGTTTTTCTAGTCTTGTGGGGGCCATATTCCTTTCGGTTCTAATCTTTTGCAGAAACCATAATCTCTAATGTATATAAGAGAGATGAATTGGAAAGAAAATGATTTTCAATACAGTCTACAGTTGGGTGGTGTTTGCTGTGATTTAACTATTAGTAATGACTTTTAATTTTTGGCAGTGGCTTTTGGATTATAAATGTAGTATGATCAGGGGTTTAGAAAAAATAAAGGGGCAAGGGGGCTTAGGTTTACAACAGTGGCTTGGGAAAAGTTTTGCTTTTGCATGGGGTTTTCTGGAGATGCTGGAGTTTGAAAAATTGTTTGGGGCTGTAAAGGGTTTTCATGGGTTACGGTTTGAGGGCTGGAAACTGGATGCGATTCAACAAAAAAAGATGTTGTTGAAAACTGGATGCTATTCAACAAAAAAAGATGTTGTTGTTGTGTATTATTTTTACATAGCTGCAGTGAACTTTTATAACTTTTGAAACTTGGGCCAGAATTCTATGCGTATGGAGTATTAATGCAGAAAGATATATAACTTTATATGTGTTTCTATGGATTTATGCACTCGCTCTAAATTTTAAATAGCATATGTCATATTCTGATTAGTTACTTTTGATGTCTTTTACAGTAAGAAAAATGGGTACAGTGCTGTTCATAAATACTAGTGGGTTTCTTTGTATGAACAGACAACTAATAGGGGCAGTAGAAAGACACTTCAAAATAGAAGCATTGAAGAGCTGGAACTGGCTTGAGGCAATATAGGGTTATTGGTTGATGGAGTTTTCTCTACCTGAAGCAGTGGCATCACATAACTACTATTCAGACATTCACATCTCCCTTAACATCAGGAATCTAAAACTTTCTTTTTATCAAGCAGTAGCCAATGATGACCTAAATGAAAAGGCTGCATAGGTTGATTCAAGGAAGCTAAATCATAAAATCAAGAGAAGGATAAGTTCATTGCTCTAAGTGAAAGAGTCACCATTGCAGTGGAATCATGTGGACAACCTCAGCTCAGCAACTCAGCTGATCCACAAGCTCCAAATGCACAACTTTTTTTGAAAGGAAGTGCACAACCTATATATTGAATGCATGGTATGGTATAATGTTTGTCAAATATGGTCTATTGATGGTTTCAGGTTGCAGTACCTTTAAGAGAAATTTTAGGGGACTATTTGACAGGTAATGAAAGGTTTTAATGACGGTTTTCCTATAACTATGAGTTGTACTCACATTAAAGGACATTTTTCTTGTAGTGTTGAGATAAATTTGACCAAATGTCACTCCAATCTTTTGGAGTAATACTCTTGACCCCACTAAGAATGAGATATTTGACAAACATAAAAACAAAATGAAGATCAAGAAAAAAAGGCTCGTGAAAGAGAGTGTGGGTAGATAAGCACATCAGAGGTCCAAAAGAATTAAAGAAATTCTTTAAGTGTGTAGCCTAATGCTTGAATATTATTGTGTAACCTTAGGGTTAAAAAACAATATCAGAAACTAAAATTTAAAAATCAGAAAGTAAAATTTACCATTCTATTTCTTCATACACTCAACCTATTTAACACATTACTTCACACAAAAAAATTCAGAAAATAAAATTCATACTGTCAAACCATTCAAAACTGCTTTTTGGATATAGAATCATGCTCCAATGCATAGATTTAGGAACAACTTTAAGAATGAAGAGGTTTGGTATCATACCTGAATGAACAAAGGGGGCTGAACGATTGTGGAGAGGTTAGATGCAGAAAATTACTCGCGGGTGACGCGAGTTTTGTCGAAATAACTCTCAGGTCCCTCTATTTTCAAAAAGACAACCGAGGTCCTTATATTTTGTTGTAATGACTGAGAGGGGACATTTCATCCAATACATCATCCGTAAGTGTTAATAAATGTATTTTTTTTCCTATTTTTCCAATACCGTTTTTTTCTATTTTGCCATTACCTTGTTTTTTCTTTTTTTAAAATGTTTTTTATTTCATTTGTTTTAATATAATACAAACAATTTTGAACTTTTATACGATTTTATAAAAGAAATTCTAAAATAACACTTTAAAAAATAATAACAACATGAAAGAAAAACAAAGAAATAAAAAAAGGAGTGACCTAAGATTTATTACTTTAAAATATTTAGAAAAGAATATGAAAAAATACATTTATTAACGTTTATAGATGAAATATTGGATGAAATGTCCCCTTCCAGTCATTACAACAAAATGTAAGGACATCTGCTGTCTTCTTGAAAATAGAGGGACCTGTGAATAACAACGCACGCTGAAGGGCTGAGAGCTGAACGAAAACTATCAATCTGAAAACCCAGGCTTTCCTCGTTAATGAATTCGCTCGATTAGTGAATTCACTCGATCAAAAAGGATCGGATTGCTTACTCGATTAGGTCGTCGGATCGGAGACACAGGATCTGCATGAGCGCTGTACGGTTGGAGTAATTCGATTTAGGGCGATGAATTTCTTAGATTTTTTTAGCCCGCTGAATTTAGGCGCTGGAATGAAAAAGTGAATTCCGTCCAAATTTTTGAGTTATTTTCATTGAATTCCGTCCAAATTTTTTGAAAGTTTTTAAAGTCTATTTTAATTAAAAAAATTAGTTTATATGTTACGAAAAAAGAGGACCAATTAATGATAGTATAAATATATGTACTAGCTTTAGACGCACGTTGTGCGAGTGGTGCCCAAACTTGACATAGTTGATCTAAGTCTTTTAATAGATAATGCATATAGAGTTTGTGTTTACAAAAGGATTGTGAAATAGCTTTTATGTTCTAGTATTATAAATGGTGCATTTGTAATGTCCCGTGTAAGTTTCAATACAAAAATGTAAATATGAATTGAAGTTGCATGTGAAAGTGGCACTTCAATACATACAAAGTTATTTATATTTGAAAAATATGCCATGATTTGAGGAAGAGTGTGCATTTCTAACAATG